TTCAATATGGCTCTTTCATGACCTAAAGGAACTGTGGTATGAAGAAAAACTGAGGTAGTCGGACCTCACTACTTTGGAATATAATGGCATAGGTCAGACATGATAATGACGTACAAGATACTAAGAGGATTGACAAGGTAGTTATAAAACAATGTTTAAATTAAAAACAGTAGAAAGAGAGGACATAATTAGAAATTGGAAGCAGACGAGTCACATAAATATCAGAAAGATTTTTTCAGTATAAGAGTCGTAATTATATGTAATTGAATAGATGAGATGTCGAAGCCAGGACGATACACTGTTTTATATGTAAATATGATAAGAAAAATGACTGGAAAGAGTAAATGCATTGATGGGGCTTAAGAGCTGATGCTCGTCCCTGCAAGCACAACTATATAATTGCAACTAGGTGATTACACAAACACAAATATTCGCTCCCATTGAATATGCAACACTGGCATGGAATCTACAACGTTTGAAGCTCAAAATGAAACCTGAAAAAGTACATTGATTTAGTATAACCTTAGAGGGTAGAATAAACAACGGGGACATGATCACTATATACAAAATATCATAGGAAATAGACAAGGTGGACAAGGATGGCCTCTTTAAACTGAGAAACAGTAGGGCGAGAGAACCCCCACTGCCACCCCTGGTTAACAAATGGTTAACACTGAAGAAAAAAGTTGACAAAGAAATTTCTATTCACAACTTAAAGGCAAGATTTGATAAATAACTCGAACATCACAATAGATAAATTACTATCCAACTGGTAAAACATAGCTAGTATGAGGCATAGAGAGAATTTGACCTCACTCGCCAATAGATACTGATAGATAAGTACAATATTTAATCAAGTTGTAAATTCAACATCAACGATATGCAGGCGATGAGTCACAATAACGTGGCTGAAGTATGTTGACCAGACCACACACTGGAAGGTGAAGGGACGACGACGTTTAGGTCCGTCCTGGACCATTCTCAAGTCGACTAAAAAATCAACGAGATATTATCTTATATATTAAGTCCTTTTGTGAGGGGATGGTTCACCAGCTCACTTACAATAGTGCTCTTATGCCTGTGGGAGCCAGTACACTTGTTAAGTGCACTTGTTAAGTGGGCGGACTTAAGTTTGGTAACCAGCAACCGAAACCTCTAGTGTTTGGGCTCATGTGAGAGCTCCAGTCATCAGCAGTCCATAAATGTTACCCTGGCCGGGGTGGCATGTCTGTGGACAGTGCTAGAGCTGATAGCATCATCTCATTGTATGGCATGGGGCCAGACAACTTTGCGCGAACGGCTAGGCCGCAGGCGTGGGGTGAAGCATGTGGGGCCCCACCCTCGCCGGCCACTTGAGTGGTTGTCATGGAGACAGCCGCCATCTTAGAAACATCTTGAGCCGCCATGTTGGTCGGCCATCTTGGAGCTGCCCTAGGGGCTATGCTACACCGTCGCTGATTGGATGAGAGGGGTAGGCCGCTGTATGCCTTCCTCTCATTGGTTGTTTCGAGAAGGACGCGGGGATAGCCGTTGTGTAGCGTCATTCTGAACTCAGCCGCCACCTTGTCAGGACGCTTCCTGTACTCAATTCGGCCAAATTGGAGTATAGGGCATCGTGGTGGCTGGACTACTCACTTGCTGATGCTTCCTGCTTCACCTACGACATCGGTCGTCACAGAATCCGGCCGAAGTCGTCGCTTGGAGGGGTTTAAGACATTATTGTATGCAGGGGTAGAGGTACAGTGATCTGGGATCGTGGGGGAATGTGCATACGAGCAGCAACAGACTCGTAGATCCCATACCAGTGATGATTAGACTTGCTAGTGCTCTGTAGCAGTCGATGGGAACGGGGAAATTCGTGTCAGTGTTAAGGCCATTTCCCATGTTAGTGTGAGACGCTATTGTTGTGCGCGTCACCTGGGTAGGAACGCTTCACTTCACCGGGGAGTCGAGGGTGCGAACTCAGCCGTGTTGAGTGGGAGGGGTTCGAGTGTGCGCCAATTTTCCGTATAAGTACTACGGTCAGGAACTACCACCGCTTACGCCACCCGGAGCGAGCCAGCCACCTATAGCAGGGTGCCTGATGTATGGGAATGGTGTGTAAAGCCGGCAATGTGAATGAGTAAGTACCTATGTGTGTATTTCGGTGATTAGTAGTCTCTAAAGCTTGAATTCGAGGTCAAGTGTTCCGTCACATTGTCACGCAGCACCTGTTCAGGTGGAGTGAATTGTGGGCGAGGAGATTAATCACCTGTGTTGTCATCTTGTCAGTCCAGAGGGACTTAAGTCTGGTGTACACAGACGTACAGTGTGTGTGTGTGTGTGTGGGTACACACGGGGAACAGAGGATACATAGATTAGCCAAGGACTGAGAGGATGTCCATGTAATAATTAATTATTTCATTGTGGTAGTCATTTTTGATCGTCCGTGGGACGGAGTGATATCATTTCCATGTGTGGTCTTGCAGGTGTGGAATTCCAACACTGAGCGCTCAGGTATGTGTAACGCCAGTGATTCCTGGCAATGATTATGTGGAGTGTGCCACAGTGTGGCTTAAATTTTTTGTAGTGTTCCCAGGGCCGTGACAAGTGTGATTTATACAAATATATATTGTGGTTGCAGTATTAATTAACGTAATTTTGGTGAGTTTTGGTGAGTGACGAGGCTGTCTAGAGAGACCGCCCCCGCTCTGTCGAGTAACGTAACTCTCGAGTGTTTATCGGCATGCGTGACCGATAAATCACTCACCCATGTGATTTAAGGAGTGTGAGATTCTCCTTAGTGTTCCCAATAACGTTTGATAGCTGCTGGCTACATGTGTCAGCAGTAAATATAAATATATATATAATCGTAGTGTCACGGTGCCCAGTGTTATTGTGTTATTTACTGTGTGGTGATTGATATATATTGACCTATGTTCTAGGGGTCATTTGCAGCAGTAAGTAAGTAAGTGTGTGCAGTATCCTAATATTTGGAAATTAGAGTACTTGCCGTGTGTGCTATTGCAAAGGGGGTTGTTATTTGATGGTGATTGTTGCTAGTGTTGAGCAATCACCGCATGTGATTGCAGTTCAGTAAAGCCATTGTGGGGCAGTGTCTTAGAGGGTTCATGTCCAGTATGTTATTTTACTAGGTTCTGCAGTATTGTCATTGCAACCGGATTGTAACGTAAATCACTGTGATTTGTTAGTGTGATTTGTCATTGTCGTGGGTGAACTCGGCTGTAGACGAGTACTTGGGTACAAATATATTCTCCTGGTTATCTGGTAGGACATCGAAGTCCAGTATTCAGTGAGGTGATTGCGAGGCAATTAATATAACGTAACCAAGGGAACGCCCATTGCTTCAAGAGAATTTGTTCTTTGACAATTTGAGTAACGTAGAATGCGTTTGGGTTAATTTGCTTTCCTGCAAGCAGCTACGGTAGTCTCGAGGAGCCTAGCCATCAGCCAGATAAGAATTAGAGTATTGTCTGTCGTAATTAACGGTCAGTGGGCCGGGTAATTGAAGGTGTTTCAGGAAGTCAAAGTAATTAATCTCGATCCTTGTTTGATCGACTCACACGAAGGCTACATTGTTCCATTAACGTAACGTCGTTATCTGCCCGGAAGTACCGGCACTTGATTGACTCGTGGGAGGAGTAGCGTCATTTTAGAATAACGTAAACGTGGGGCTAATTACTGTTATTAGTCGCCTGAATTGGTCTGAGTATGGAAGGCTTAGATGGAATTCATACCTTAATGTAAATTGCTGAGCCAGTGTGAAAGGTTGCGTATTTTAATTGTTTAATTATTGATCTTGAGGATAGTAATTAATTACTCTAAAGGTAATCACGAGTGATTACCGTTCTCTTAGCACTTTGGACATTGTAAGTCAGAGTTTACCATCGCTGAGTGATTAGTAACCGATTAACGTAAATTAACGTAACTAGTAAAGAGATTAATCAGCTGTCTGGTAGTACAGGGATTAATGGGATTTTCTCACTGAATGCTCGACGGGTAGAGTGTTGTTTGATTTCCGCGTTACTAGTGACAGTTGAAAGAGTTGTTAATTTAACGTAAATGTTACCTTGTTATTAACGTAAATCAATTGTTATTGATTGTTGATCGTCCGTGGGACGGAGTGTTAACGTAAGGATTAATTTGTGGAAGGGTGCTGGAGTTGCCAGTGAACCCATTAGTTATTGTTGTCATTGAAAGACTACTGATTTGATTGCATTGCAACCGCTGTTGCAGGAGTAGACTGCACTGAGGCGTGGAACAGTTAGGAGGTTACTGGAGACGTGTTTCAGAACCTACTGTGTCATTTGTTGTAATTGTGATTATAGATCTGTTAGTTCTTGTTTCTTGATTGATTCCTCTGTGGTCACACTTATGTTCGAGTTAGTTCATTATGCAGTCCGAGGGGCTGGTGTCTAGCTGTCATTGATAGTGTCACAGGAAGGATTTCGAGTAACGTCATTGACATTTCTTTTGTTTTGTTGTAGTAGTTAGTACTTTATTGAATAAACTAAGTTGTTATGGTTAACACTGTCTTTTCGTTACACCCCCACACATTATTATTGTTATGCAAATGTTCTTCACACTCGACTAAAATTGAGACTAATTTTCTGAGCTTTGGATCAAATATACGGCACCACACAACAATAAATTATTGTTGTGAGAGCCCGTGACCTACTCGTTAGATTCGCTTCGGCGATTGGCGAAGGTCGGCGGCCTAGTGGGGGGGATTTCAATTTTCATTGGGGTCTCGGCGTTTGCTCGCGCCTAGTCAATTGTTCATACATGGTCCCAAAGTGAGGAATGAGCTGGTTACTACACTGGTGTGTTAGCTAAGCAAGTCCTTCCTCAGGCGACCTAGTTGAATATCACGACAGGAATAAAGGTTAAAGAATAAAGAAAGTTCTTAGAAATTTTCCGAGCTAAAATTCCTCATACCAATTTCAATTTATTCCACAAATTCTCAACTCAAAACTCTCACACCTTTAAGGGATATGTACCTTTATATGGCCGGATCAGCGCGAGGTATTTTGGAAGCAGCTTGGGTTTGAGTGAGGTCACTATGAATGGGTCAGACGGATAGCACCTTAGATATTCCACGGCCCTGAGGCGCCTTGCCGTCGGAGCTGTCACGGTACAAAAGTCCTTCTCCTCCCTCTGGAGGAGACCAATCATGCCGCTGAAGACACCGTTCCTCTCCACCCCCCAGCTGCGGGTCTTGTCCTCGTGGATATCGAACCTGTGGAAGGGTTTGGCTATAAATAAAAATGAATTTTGGAGAATTAATTTTTGAATTACCACCAACAGTGAAAAGAAACGTAAGAAAGATCGAGAAAATTCGTGTTAGAATTATTAATCTTACTTTTTCAGTCATATTTAATAATATATGTCTACAGGAAAGACTGCTACCAATATGTATATATATATATATATATATATATATATATATATATATATATATATATATATATATATATATATATATATATATATATATGTCGTACCTAGTAGCCAGAACGCACTTCTCGGCCTACTATGCAAGGCCCGATTTGCCTAATAAGCCAAGTTTTAATTAATTGTTTTTCGACTACCTAACCAAACCTACCCTAACTTTTTCGGCTACCTAACCTAACCTAACCTATAGAGATAGGTTAGGTTAGGTTAGGTAGGGTTGGTTAGGTTCGGTCATATATCTACGTTAATTTTAACTACAATAAAAAAGAATTGACCATCCACTTGACCATCACGACCGGACATAATGAGGTGATAGCCGAGGCTATTTGACCCACCCCACCGCCGGCACTCGGATAGTAATCTTGGGCATAGCATTTTACCAAATCACCTCATTCTTTGGGGCACACGTGAGGAACACAAATGCGAACAAGCCTGAATGGTCCCCAGGACAATATGCAACTGAAAACTATACTAAATGTACAATTCCATTTCAATGTTTCTGATTGCATAGATAAATTGAATTTCATATATTTTTATATATTTTTATTTTGATATAATTATTTTGTGTGAATTGCGTCGGAATTAATCTGTGTTGTTTAGCGTACCGTTCATTTCGTGAGTATAGTTATTTTTTTTTCATATTTTCATTTCATTTTTTAATTGTTTTTCTTATATTTCAGTGATGGGAACATCAGATCACTTGATGTTCCCAATTTTATGATGGGAACATCAGACCATTTGGAAAGGCATCGGACGAGGAAGTGGGGAATAGTGGGGATGACGAGGGGCCAAGGGAGGGGGTAATGGTGGGGAAGGACGAGGGACATTGGAGTTTGGGATGATGGGGACAAGTGGATGGGAGATTGGGGAATGGTGGGGAGGACAAAGGGACAGGGGAGTGGGGAATGGTTGGGAGGCCGAGGAAACGGGTGAGGGGGGAATAATGGCTGGGGGACTGGGAAGGTTGCTGTGGCTCAGCAACGCACATGCGTTGCTGAGATACAGCAAAGTGATCGTGTCTGAGCCAGACACGATCACGAAACTGATCATTTGTATGCGGAAAATCCACAAAGACATTGGAAAGGAAGATGAACGTTTCGTTCCTTTTACAGCACCAGACTGACTAGGAGAAACAAAGGGAGGGTACATGTCAACAGCTGAATATGACCCCATATATCCAGATAAAGAATTACCCAGAAGCAAGTATAGATTTAGCTTAGAATAATAAGATTAAACGGTCAGAGAATAAGGATGAAAGATTAAAGCCTCAATAAACACAACAATATATGAATATAATATTGAAATGAGACATAGTAATCCTTTCAGAGTTTTTCTACAGAAAAAACTCTTGTTTTTTTTAATCCAAGAACCCAAAAACTTGGGAGTCACAATATCGTGGCTGAAATATGTTGACCAAACCGCACACTAGAAAGTGAAGGGACGACGACGTTTAGGTCCGTCCTGGACCATTATCAAGTCGATTCTGAGAATGACAATCAATATCAATATCAAGATATATCAAGCCGATCTGCTAGAGTGAGAGTTTATGTACGTGTGTCTATTCTGCTAATGTATGAATCTATGGAATCATTAATCCAAGTGAACATACTGTTCACGACATTTGGATACTTACGTGAAGTTGAGTTTAGCAGCGAAGGTGTAGATGAGCCGGACGTCAAGGGAGTCGGTGAGGATGACGGGTGTTCCTTGGGCGTCGCTGACCCGCGTGTAGTCCACGTAGGGAAAATATGGCGTTGCTGTTACTATTCTCAACTTGTTGCCCATGAAGTCTTGCAAGCTTTCTGTCCAGACACGTGTAAGTATATGGTGAGTTTTGTCTTCAAAAGGTAATTGCTATATCTTCGCTGTATTGTTTGTCAATATTACATGTCTAGTTCCATTTTCCTTAAGAGTCTAACACATCCTTAGTTGTCTCCTTGTACATGATGTGCGACACAGTTCTTATTTAGATAAAACAATCATCATGCTTGTTAAACCTCTTGTGAATTTAATTGAAGTACTAAAGGAAATGATTCATTAACACAAAAAATCTTCAGCAGAAGGTATTCCAATTTTGTTTTCTTACTGACATCTCACCTTGGAATAGGTGGTGCAGTGGGAGAGGAAGGAAGGTGAGGCATGACTGGAGCACCTGCTGGACTCCCGCCTCCCCGTTGTTGCAGAACGGACACCTTCGGTACACCCACACACGGCTCCTACACCCCGACACTGTCCTCCCTCCTACACCCACACATAAACACATTATAGCACTGATGCTCACAGATTCCTGGCACAATAAATTCTTAATATATAATAAAGTATTATGAGTTGCACTGAAGTTGATGACAGTCCAACGTGCTGCCATGGGCGTGACCGTCAGGGGAATACATCTGTGGATACAGCCTGTAACACAGTGTCTCTGTAATGTCGAAGCTCAGGTTGTTAGTGCCACCCTTGCCACATAAAAATCACATATAAAATTATATAAAACATTATATTTGATAAAATGATTTATATGATTTATATAAAATCATAAAAATCAATTTCCTTTAGATAATTGTTCTTTGTGTATTGCAGCACTTGAGCTTTGGCTGATGATGACATTGTACCATGCTTCCAGCTGTATAAGGAGCAATTAAAAGATACATAACATACAAACCTGGCAACCAATTCACATGAAAGTGATCTCAGGCGGTACAGAAATGGTTGGGTGTGTTTCCTATCACCTAATACATCTGTTCACCTAGCAGTAAATTGGTACCCAGGAGTTAGTCAGCTGGTCGTGGAGTTGCATCCTGGGGAGGGTCAGTAGCCTTGGAGGAATCTCGTTATAAGCTTAGCATGTATATATATACACTGGCTGCCTGTCCCCAACCCTAATTATTATTATTGAACAAAGAAATCACATTAACGTGATGTACCAATGAGAAAATCAGTAGGAGCCGTGGAGAGGATTCGAACCTATGCTCTGAGGAAGCCTTGAGGATTCAGTTATATACCAGGTTGCAAAGCTTTTCCTTGTGGTGTAGTGGTCTAAGGTTTTTCCTTTGCAGTACCCAAAGCATATATTCGAATCCTTCTCATGGCTCCTACTGATTTTATCATCATCAACATCAGCATCATTATTATTAATATAACCTAATAATAATTCATTGTGTTGTGGGACAGGCAGCCAGAGTGTATTCACACATGTTAGGCGTAAGTCGAGGCCCTCCCCCCATCCAAGGTCGATTACTGACTTTACACACAGAAATCACAATAGCGTGATGCATCAAATGAACAAATCCACAAAGGCCGTGCTCCTTGTCCACGGCCCTTGTATGTCCACAACCTATGTGGACGTAGGTTCGAACCCTCTTCACAGCCCTTGTGGATTTGTTCGATTACTGGCCCCGCCAAGGATGCAATCCCACAACGTGCACACAGTTGTGTAAATTAATCACTTTGTTGTATAGACAATTGTGTAAACTATCACTTGGTTATATACTCTAAAATCACGAAAGAACAAAGGACATTATTCCTCCTAATTTACTTCTCAGTTCAGCATCCACTACAGGGTGCCATAACAAATTATATGAACAATTTTGCTTCAGTGTTTATTGTCGGGGCTCAATAGACGCCAGAATATCTTAGGCTCTTTTCTTAAATTTGTGGTGTAAGTTCATTGGACACCAGTTCTTTCAAAAAATGGATATGTTCTCACACTTTTTATTTATTATCTTTTCCATTGAAATTAAAACAATTTTAAAGCCCTTTATCCGCTGAATAGATTTTATTTAGAGAAGTTTTGTATTGCCATAAATTATGGATTTTATCCACAATTATAAAATCATGATTTGATTTTTTCGTGCATCAGGTATTGAAATAATAATAATTTAATTTCCTTATTTATTTTAGTTAAAACATTACAGTTAGTTTAGACATCGGTAGAAGTGTTCTGGAAATGGATTATGTTATTATACAACAGTTGTGAAATGTTGTATATGTATAATAATAATTATACAACCAGGGAATGAAATTGTGTAAAACACTGGTTTATGTCTCGGAGAGGCTTCAGGATCCGTGTGAGGTCAGTGGAACTCCCGGTTACAATTCTTTTACCATGTCGTGGCCTGGTCGACTAAGGCAGCGTCTAGGATCATCCCGAGCGTAAGTTCGAACCCCTTATCACGGCCCTTGAGAATTTGTTCATTTGATGCATACGCTATTGTGATTTCTGTGTGTACCGAAGTGAGGGCGAAGAGGTAGAACAGCTTGTTGGCAGAGCCCGAGTGCATGGGGGAAATTGAGTACAACCCTGGTTTGTGTCTCGGAGAGGGTGCAGGATCCGTGTGAGGTCAGTGGAACTCCCGGGCCACGGGAGTTACAATTCTTTTACCATGTGGTAGCCTAGTCGACTAAGGCAGCGTCTGGGATCATCCCGAGCGTAAGTTCGAACCCTCATCACGGCCCTTTTCGCTTTGTTCGTTTAACAATCACTGTTGTTTTGAAAGAAGTTTCTTTTTCAGAGACACTGTTCACTTGAAAGTTTTTAAGTTCTGTAATTAACATTGATTTTGCCGGCTGCTGTGTCACCTTAAATAATGGGTTAATTGAAAGCAATTGTATGATAAAATGTCCTTCAACGACTCTCTCTCCTGTCTTGCTGTCTCCAAACTTTTGTGTGTCAGAGTTGTAATCAGTGGCAGAGTTTTCTCTTTGGTTATAATAAATTAATTTCTGAATGACCAATTTAAATTTTGGAGTAATTAAATCTAGGTAGATTAACCTTTTGCAATGAGTTCGGACTTTTCTTTCTTCTAAGACTTATCTTTAATTTTGGTGACGTTGATAAGCTTCTTCCCTGTTTTGAATAGTACTGAGAAGACAATCTTTCACAAATTCATTAACGTACTGTTTCGTAACAAAATTATGAAGCTTAACATTACCGATAACTTCAAAAGGATGGCCTTTCCCTACCATATACTGCAGGAGCCTTGAGACATTTTCATCACAGATTTCTCTAATTTTCTTCCAGTAAGTGCATGTACAATGATTATGAATCATTCCTTATATTAGAATATATAAGATCTGGAAAAATGTTACATATTGTAAAGACTTGGTGGTAGACAAACTGCCACATATTGTAAAGACTTGGTGGTAGATAAGCTGCCACATATTGTAAAGACTTGGTGGTAGACAAACTGCCACATATTGTAAAGACTTGGTGGTAGATAAGCTGCCACATATTGTAAAGACTTGGTGGTAGATAAGCTGCCACATATTGTAAAGACTTGGTGGTAAATAAGCTGCCACATATTGTAAAGACTTGGTGGTAGATAAGCTGCCACATATTGAAAAGACTTGGTGGTAGATAAGTTGCCACATATTGTAAAGACTTGGTGGTAGATAAGTTGCCACATATTGTAAAGACTTGGTGGTAGATAAGCTGCCTCATAGTCACTTCTCGTTCACCCAACAGTGCCTTGTGGACCCCCCCCCCCCCTACACACACACAAACACAGTTGCACCCTTTATTTAGTAAAGTGAATCCTGGATCACTGATCCCTTGCTCTCGTCGTACTAGGTTAAGTGCAACTGCGTCGAACTTTACACACAGTTGCAACCCTGACGAGGCAAAATCAACATTGATTCAAATACACAGTTATGAACAATACAACATGAGTGAGAAGTCATGTAGAAAAGTAGGTGATGAAGAGGAGACTTATATTTTAGCAAAATATGAGGAAGATTTATTCGCAAATCGAATCCCGAAAACACACATTAGCATTAAAGTGTTGCCAGACGTAACACTCATGAGTTCACAGCCTTGACCCTGGACCCTCACTTCAACAAGGACAAAACCAAACAACAATAGTCTGGGGTGCAGTGCCAATTTCATAGGTGTCGGAATTCTGGTGAGCCTGACAAAAGCCTGCCATTTTCTATCCTGTTTCTCTGTATGTCACACGATTAAGTATTTCGTGTTTGTTCTCACTAATTATCATAAAATATAGTTTCAAAACAAATAAAGAAACAACATAAATCATGTATTTTTAAATTTAAAAAAGTTAAAACCCTTAGTGCTCACAAAATGCAACCAGTGAGAGGTTTCACAGTAGTTTCCACAAAAGATCAGGTGTGAGAGGTGTTTGGGGGTTTGAAGTAACTCCTGTCCTGGTGTCATCTGCCGACCTGTGGTACTGCAGCCATGATGTGGCATATGGCTCAGGATTCTACTGAACTAGAGGAGATCCATGTAGTTTAACGAAAGTACAGATTCGATTAATAGATTAGAGCCAAACCCAATAGAAACTGTTCTGAAGTTAGCTTTTTCAACAGACTTTCATAGGTTTTTCTATCACTTTAAAATGTTGTTTCATCTTTCACTGTGTTGCGGACCCGAGTCCAGCGTCCGAGCACGGAGCAGTGACGACAACGCCATCTGTGGGTCGGCACCCGAAACTCCCTCCAAATGGACGAAGCCATCTAGTGAGGACAGGATATACCGGCCACAGGGGCTGGATTCCCGTCTTAACCAGCTCATAACATAGCCGCTGCTGACCTCTGGTGAGGTGGCGCTTAGACAGCAACGCCATCTATGGAGCAGAGAGGTGGACGTTTGTGTCTAAGCCTGTATGTGAGGTGCCCTAGAGAGTCCCTAGTACTAATGACGTGTCTGATTAGAGAGTCGACCTGGGACTGCTGTATTGGATGATGGGACAGTCTACCCAAGGCAGCCAAGGTCTCTCCACGTGTTTGCTGCAGAAGCTGTGAGTCACCCCCGGACGAACACTGTTAAGAGTGTTAGCCTGCCTGTGACGTGGCCCTACCAGGAATCGTCTTACCTGGGGGCTGGCTGGTGGAAGAGACTTTCCACTGTGGTGCGGAGAGAGGAGAGTGATCAGCGGAATCACACGAGACTCCTGCCTAGGGCTCGCAACCCTAGTATCGGTCGTGGTGTGGCCTACACAGCGGAGCTGATCGGAACCTGCCAGCTACAGGCTGGATTTGTGGTTGAAGGCCTCCACGACGGTGCACCCAGTGGGACTGTGATTTGGCTGGCCTGTGGTCGGGGTAGATTCGCTATGAGAATCAGAGGATTCATCATGGGCCACGAAGAAGTGAACCAGGGCTACTCATCTTGAGCACCGTGGAGCATCCTGTGTCTTCAGAGGAAGACATATCTGTATATAATAAGTGTAGTTATAGCAACCCCGTGTGACTGTGTTATATTTATTTATGGTGGTGGTAGAAATATATATATAAAGCAGTGCATTTGAATCCCTTCTCCTTTAATTTAACTTGCGTTACGGAACACCCCTTGAAAGCCACTACTAACTTGGGGCCAGATACCCAAACTCTAATAACATCAGAAGAACCCGGTTGCAACCCAATAGGGCCGTAACACACTGCTTTTTCAAAATGAAAACAGAGCGATTCGTAAGTTTTTCACACTGCTGCAGAAACTGTTTAAAACGAGCTGAGCACCAACCTGATGTTCAGAACACAGCTTATTTTGCAAATACGTTGTGCAAGTTGAAAGGGACATTCAGATATTTTATTTTTATTTAGAGCTGATATACTGTAAACTGAGTACAATTTGTCCATAAATGTTTGAAAATTATTAATTTCATGAACTTCTCTACTGAATCACCTACTCCAAGTTTTAATCTGCGATTAAGACAGTGCCAGATAATTATATCAGGGTTATTTTCCTTCAGAATTGTTGCAATGTCAGATCTGACACCAAGCATGACACTTGCCCCATCATTAGGAAAGATTTCAAGGTTTTGTCTCAAATATAAGTCATAAACCCATGATAATTGAGACAGCTAAATAGATGCCTAGCAATAGTTGCTGCTTTCTGATCAGGTAGTTCATTTTGTTTTCTTTATTGTAAAACAACATATAAATACAATTAAAAGGCAAGATATCGAAGCACCAGAACATAAGAAACACAGAATATATACAAATAAAATGAGTACATCTGAGTAACAGTACCAGACAGAACTTTCTACAATATCACAAAACAAAGCATGCAAACAAATAGAAACAGAACAATTAATGAAACAACCTCACCCACGAAACATCGCACGAACGGGTACAAAATGTCATCAAAACACAAAGGTAACACAAATCATGGAACTGAACATCACATATCACTTATACAGGGCAACAGATGATTCACAAAAGAAAAGTTCACATAAGGCACCACAGTAGTTTCACAGAAGCTACTTCTGTGAAACAACACACAGAAGCGTTCTGAAAAAAGTGCAACCGAGCCATACACACAACAATGCACAAGACAATCATGATACCAAACTACTGCCGCCAAAACAAACGGACGGGCACAAAGGACACAAAAACATAAAAAATCTGATACGAAAACGGGACTACACATAACCCGAAAACAATGCTACTGAACCACACCCGAAGAGCACTAAACATACCAGGGCTGTAACCATCGTCAATAAACAGGGAGGAAAAAACACACTCCTTATGAGAGGCGAGAACGCAGCCCCAGTTAACGCCCACCACTGGGAAATCACATGGTATTCGGCAGCCAACCATGAAACGCCAACTTATCAAACGCCGACCCGAGGCACGGCCCAAACACCTTCCCGGGAGAGTAAGGGGCAGAAAAAAGTGGAAAGCGCAAGAGGAGAGTCGACAGCCCCCCTTTTCAGCACTATAACCAAATCATTCTGCACCCGACCATCAGCACAAGGGTCAACAACTCCTACTTCTGTTCACTGGCACAAGGGGGACCTGGGAGCAGCCAACAGATCAACCCCATCTTGCTCCCCCACCTCCTCAACCACTCTATCCTCGTCTCCCACAGTCTCCATACCACCAGGGGACTGCAACCTGGCAGTGCCCTTCATTCGTTTCAGCCGAGGAGCCAGTGCAACCTTACACGACCTGTCTTGTAGTCTTCGAGAGGGCCGCCCACCCCCCACCAGAGAGTGATCTGGAACCGGAACCGGACACAAGGAGGAAACACACACACCCATAGGTTCCAGAGGCAGCGCACCTTGAACGCACACCAATGCCGATGGGGACGGCATCTAGGGATCCAGATCCACCACCTCAACAGGCAGTACAACGTGTACTTCAACGGGCACATCTGTCACCACACAATGCCCAAGAACGGAAGCATCCTCACACGTAGGCGGTCTGTCACTCTACGGCAGACCAGAGCGCACCACCGTGGCCTAACTCCCAGCAGGGATCTCCATATATACTGGCCCAACGGGAAATAATAGAACATCCCCAGCCTCCATCCCTACTTGCATGTCCTGGGTCGGGAGGGGTTTATACATGCAATGAAGCATAAATCCCATCAAGGACAGGGAAGATGGGACACTATGGGCTAGGGACATCGTCAGAGTCCTGACACCATCAAGCATCCCCGTACAGTGACTGGCATAGATCTTATTCCACCAGACACCGAGCACCTTCCCAAACCGACAAAACAGCCTGGCTAAGTTCTCATCCTATAATTCGAACAGTGCGCCCTGCACCGCCGCATAGGTCAAAGCCACACTCAGGTTCAACACCCGAACGGTGCCAGCTCCAGCAGGCCGAAGGAACTTACAACTACGGAGAAACTCTTGAAATTAATTCGCACATTGAAACTTGATCATCACCCGACGATCCTGTAGCACCTGGGCACCCATCAGAGCCGACAACTTGTGACCTGCAGTATGTCCACCATGGCAATTCCAACCAAGGTGTGGTCCACGGGTATGGGAAAACTCCAACCTAGCGAAGATGATTCCCTTCAAGGAATCACGAAGGAAGACCCTACCTAACTCTAAACCAGACCACGCACAAGCAGGGGACCACACGGGCTACAGCAACGACCCCCAACCACCTCTTCCACGTACGACCTGGCGACTGGGAGGCGACACCAAGGGACATACATTCAAGGGGGTGAATCGGGGGACAACAAGTGGAGAGAATTGCTGATTATCACAAGGTTCTGTTTCAAATATAAATCATCAAACCCATGATAATTGAGACAGCTTAATAGATGCCTAGCAATAGTTGCTGCTCTCTGATCAGGTAGTTCAATTATATCTAAGAACATGAAATGGGGATTACCTTCCTTATCACTTTCACATTTCAAGCAAATTATCAAAGTTGTTTTAATGCTTAGGCTTGTTGATTCATCAGTGAGAACATACATTTTACCATTTATCTCCTTGATATGCTGGCAACTTTGTTTCATAATAATGAAACAAAATCAACATTTGTCATAATTATTTCATATTAATATGTTTCATATTAATTAATGGCTATGTGATTAATTATTTCTGTGACACTAGTGCAAGTATGGAGACCCATTCCACTGTCAACACCATTTTGCTTTTGTATTTCCCGTAAACCAAAATGATCAAAGTATGGTTTGTCATTCTGAGCTAAATAATATGCAGAATGCAAAATTGAACATATTGTCTTGAGGTACAAAGCATTCATGGCAGCACACAATTTTCGAAAAGCATTTTCACTAGCTACATTTTCAACACGCAAAGCACCAGTGTGAACATTCGATAGTTTATGACCAATAACTATTTTCTGAGAGACTTCAAGCGTGTACTTTAGTCATCTCCATAATATGATACTTGGTACATCCGGCACTCATTTAATAGTCTTAATCCCTTTGAAGTGAAAAGTATTACATTGCTAATGTTTGCACTTAACTTACACCCAAGTTTATCATTCCTGAAGTCAAACAATGGATAGGTTTCATTTTTCTTTCTTCCACATTTCTACAGTTCAAACACCTGAACAAGGATACAAGTTAGACTTCAAAGCATCATTAATTTCTTAATTTTACATGGATCCAGTTTGAAAATTTGAACTATAAGCAGTCGAAACATAACTTTTGCAACTTTCACTGCCATCATTATCAGTATCCTGTATTTTATTCTTCTTACACTTCTCACTTTGTTTACAAAAGAAGTCAACATTGTTTGCTTAGAAGTCATGATGGGGTTGCTTGTGAGAAAAAATGCTTCTGTATTAAAGAGACATCCACGGACCACGAGCCACCACTTTACTAATGCCACTAAAACACAGAAGCAGAGTTCCCAACTCACTATATCACACGACACTAGAACTACCCCAAAAAGCACTAAAATATGTAAAGTTGTGTGAAGCATTTTTGTCGTTTTACCTGCCTATCTCCCTATTCCCTCATCCTCTCGCACTATCCCCCCATTCTATCATTCACTTGCAGAGGTGCCGGAGCGGGGCTCCGGCCAGCTCCAGCAGCACTACACCACTGACAATAGTACCAAAAGATACGCATTAAGTCTCAGCTGAGGAGAATAAACTACGGGGAGAGACTGAGATGAAAATAGCGAGGCATAAAAGTCACATATAATTGTATATGACAAAGGGAAGTGAGACAGATGAAGAAGCAGTTGTAAATAACTCAGTTCATATTTTTATTTGTAATTGTGATATAAAAGACGTTAATATGCCAAGGCGAGTAAAACTATTAATAAAGGCATGATCTACTGACCTTCCTGAGTGAGGAGGCTCCTGAGGCGAGAGTGAGGGTGTGATGGAGGCGTGTGGAGGGAGGCGTTGTGGAGGGCGAAGAGAGAGGTGTGGTGGAGGGCAAGGTAGAGGGCATGGAGAGTGTTGCGGAGAGAGTGGTGGAGGAGCAGGGCCTTCACTTCCGCCCTCCTCCCCACGGCTATCACCACCGTCTCTGGCAGCTGCCACAGCCCCGACCTCTCCAACAACCTTTTTTTTGTCATGTAAAATATTATTTAATGACTTACATTCTTAGTAAACAGTTCTCATCTCTTATTTGGAGAATAATGAAACAAATTACCGGAAAACATAATAGATGCATTAACTTGGGTGAGTTTAATTAGGTGACTAGCATGGAGAAAATGGGCTCTTCTACAGTTAACTTCATTTCAATATTCATAGAGACTAATAAATAAGCTATCACATATTGAATTTATATTTTGAGTTGCAGCAAAATTTTCTCTACATTTAGTTTCCAACATATAGACAGATATTGTGACATGATATTCATTTGAATCATGTGGCTGGAATGACATGAAATTTAATATTTACAGGACTGTATTACTGTCTGTTCAGTACATAGGGCTGTTAAGTGTCAAAAATGCATAAAATCTGTGAGTTACAAAACGAAAGTTTCTGGTCATAAGTCTTTTATATCTTAGTTAGAGCGGTGTTTATTTGGAAAAGAAACGTTATGTGATGCATTCATTACAAAATCCCAGGTCTACTAAACGAAATTCATATGAAACATAGATGAAGGGTGGATTACCCTAAGTGTGCTCCATGAAAGGTTTGAGGCCTCAGTTAGGTACCACTTAGGTTTGACACTTAATTGTTCGCTGTAAACCTATGGTAACATTGCATTTTATACAGCTAACGTTCAAATCTCAATTGAGAGAAAATAAATGATTTTCAACATGGAGAGGGGTACCTGCTGCATGGGTAACAGCTTTTCCTCTATATGAACCTACCCAGGCTTTGCGCCCTGGAGAACACTCCAGCCTCGCCTCAAAACACTCCTCTCGCTTTTTTGTGAACCAACACAAAAAGTGACAGTGTCCTGGTTATAAGTCTCCTGCTCAGTTTGCGAAGAGCGTGATGCAAGAGGTTGCTTCCGACGCTGGGAGGTGTCATATCGCCCCACTGGCCAGCTACTCTCCGCCTCAAGCTGGGCAAACACCAGCCAATAAGGTGTTGCCTCGTCACGGTCCGTTAACCTCACTTGGTGCGTGGGGTATAGGGTGAAAACCGACAAGCGCACCGACACCTTTGCATCAAGCAATACCCAATCCAAAAAGAAAATATCAACTTCCCTACAGCTGGGCACATGGAACGTTAGGACAATGATACCAGGTTTCTCTGATGACTTGCAAGAAATCAACGATGCCCGAAAAACAGCAGTCATTGATAGGACGCTGAGCAAACTGCAGATGGATATCGTTGGTCTCCAAGAGACCAGGATCCTAGGATCAGGATCTGGGAGAGAGAGAAGGCCTTATCCTTCTTCTGGCAAGGAAAAACCTCCAGACAAGACCAGAGAACACGGCGTTGGATTCGCCCTCAGGAATGCACTATTGGGACACATCATCCCACCGACGGGGGAACCAAACGAATTTTGTCTCTCCAGCTACATTACCAAACAGGACCAGCCAGTGTAATTAGTGCATACGCATCAACTCTGAATTCTTCAGCCGAGGCGAAGGAAAAATTTTACGGTGACCTCAACAGTGGCATAGCGAGAATAACAGAAAAGGAGCCACTGTTCATCCTTTGCGACTTCAACGCCAGAGTGGGTGCCAATCACAACTCTTGGCCCACTTGTCTGGGTCAATTCGGCATAGGAAGGATGAACGAGAACGGGCAGCGTCTGCTAGAACTCTGCTGCCTTAATGGTCTCTGTGTCACCAACACGTTCTTCGGCACAAAGCCTCTACACTGAGTCTCTTGGAGACACCCCAGATCCAAGCACTGTAACCAGCTGGACCTGATTCTTACCAGGCACACAAATCTAACCAGCGTCAAGATTTCACGTAACTACCAGAGTGCTTTCTGTGAGACTGACCACTCCTTTGGTATGTAGCAGGGTCAAGATGCAAACAATGAGGATTCTCCCCTCGAAAAAGGGCAGACCTCGCATCGACACCGGCAAGACCCGCAACGTGGAAGGTTTTGCACATGTGCTCAAGGAAGCTCTTCCTGGTCCGGCCAGGGCCAACGCCAGCATAAGATGGGAGCACTTCAGAGAAATTGTGTTAAACGCTGCCATGTCCACCTTCGGTAAGAAGACCAGCAGGTCGGCAGACTGGTTCGAGGCTGACTCGGAAGAAATGACACCAATCATCAAAGAGAAGAGAAGAGAAACGGCTTAGCAGCCTACAAAGCCTGCCCAAGTCAGCGCAACCTGCAAATGCTTCAAGCCGTCCACTGCAAAGTGCAGCAAAGCGCCAGGCAATGTGCAAACGACTATTGGCTGCGGCTCTGCTCCCACATAACGACTGCAGTAGATATATGCAATGTAAATTGGATGTATGACGGCATCAAGCAGGCCCTTGGCCCAATCTAAAAGAAGTCAGCCCTCCCTGAAATTTGCCACAGGCCAGGTGATTCAGAACCAGACACTGCAGTTCAAGCACTGGGTCGAGCACTACTCCAAGCTTTGGAGCTGACAGCGAACTGACTCTCGAAGAACTCGGCGAGGCCCGAGACTCCCTTGCTACTGGAAAAGCTCCTGGAAAAGACGACATTCATGCCAAGTCCTTGAAGTGTTGCTAACCTACTCGTGGAGCTGCAAGGAATCCTCTGCTTCTGCTGGTGAAAAGGAGAGGTGCCACAGGACACGAGGGACGCCAACATCGTCATGCTGTACAAGAATAAAGGTGACAGGGACGACTGTAACAATTACCATGGCATCTCCCACCTCAGCATTGTCGGAAAACTGTTTGCTCGAGGCACATTGAAGAGCCTCCAAGTACTTGCAGAGAGAGTTTCTTCTTCTTCTTGAGAATAGGTGCAGTTTGCATGAAGGGGTAACCCTCCCGATGACTGCACCAGGACAGATGTAAGGAGACGCGTTGATGGTAAAGAGGAGAAGAAAGTCAAAAGCGGTAGACGTGATGGGCCGGAGAGAGAGGAGTGGCGACGAAAACAGAGGCAAACGTCAGAGGGAGACTCCCCACACCGGGGGGCGGGGCGTCATGGTCACGGTGGCAGCTGATCCAGGCACGGCGTAGCGGTGTGCGCAAGACGGGAACTAATATTTCTCCGGAAACTTACGGTACGGAAAGCGCAAGCGGTACGCTTCCCAAACCACCCACAGGTCGGCGGGCAGCCGGCCATCAGGCTGAACCCTCGGCTGAGACATCCTATCCGGCACCCTATAAACAAACTCCTTTTTTGACGACACCCAGATGGTTGACGAGCACCATGGGATCGGAAGCACCCAGGCATCCCGATAAGGGCCCAACTCCGGACCCTCACAGGGCACGACCCCAGCAGACGGGACTAGGCAACCTCCAGACCGGGGCAAGGAAGGAGGGGGAACTGCAGGCGCGGCAGCGACCCCACCACAGGGCACAGGAGCCGAGGCTCCCTGGCACACATCTTTCCGCAACTTCACGACGAGGTCCCGACCATCAGGGACAACCCCCCACTGCGGGGACCCAACAGCAGGAGACGCAGGAGGGGGGGCACAGGGAGCAACGTCGGAGCCCCTCACAGCACCATCATCCTCGGCGGGGGACGCCGGCTGAGCACCATACTCCCCCACCTCCTCCCAAGGCACACCACGAAGGGGGGAGACACTCCGAGCCCGCCGCGAACGCTTCGAGACAGGCCGCACCACACCACGCCCAGCAGGCCCCGCCGCAGGCACAGCCTCCACCGTCATATCCACACAGGCCACACCCGCACCGTCCGAAGAGTCCACAGAGGCCACATCTCCCACACTGTCTACATCATCCACGGAAACAGCCTCAGAACACCGACGCGCACGCTTCTGCAAAGGAATGGGAGGAGCAGAACTACAGGAGGCAACACACTCAGGCACGGCAGGCACCTCACCACGCCGAAGCACCCCCTCCAAAACGGCAGATCCCGCGTCCCCGGGAGCCGGTAACACATCCACAGGCGGGGGCGGAACATGAACCTCCACCGGGACACCTTTCACAACACACAGCTCAGGCGACAGCCCGACACCCTCACACACCGACTGAACAACCCCAGGGGCCACAGCTGGCACTAGACGTGTCGCACAGGCCGGAGAGCTCTCCTCAACAGGCGGAGCAGCAGACAGGCAGTCAGGCGCCTCAGGCACAGCACCCACACCGCCCGAACGCAACAGGGGCGGAAAATCCTCCGCACGAAGAACATGTACACGACCAGTCGCTCCCACATCGCACGCAGCAGCCAGATGACCCTTGTGACCACACCGATAACAGGTGCGCGGTTGACCCCGGTACTGGCAGCGGAGCGTGTATCCCAACACGGACATCGACGACGGTACACTACCCTTCAGCGACATCGTCAGGGTGCGGGAGCCGTCAAGCATACCAACACAGTGCCCGGCAACGACCTTGTTCCAACGAACACTCAACACTGTCCCAAACCGTTCGAAACAGGAGGTTAAAAAGTCGTCCTGAAATTCGAAGGGGGCACCATGCACCGTCACAGACGTCAAGGTGACACTAAGATTCACCACCTTAACGGAGCCAGTAGTATCAGGGAGAGGGTAAACACGCCCCTCACACCACTCGAGAAACGCCTGAAAGGCAGCCCGGAGGCGGAACTTGACCACAGCACGGTGGCCCTGAAGCAGCTGGATGCCCACCAGGTCAGACAGCTGCACATGCAGCACGTCCACTAGGACGACACCAACCAATGGATGGTCCACCGGCACCGTAAACGCCAGACCAGCTGACAGCGTCCTCTGCAAAGGAGGGCGAAACGTCCCCATGGCGAAGCAAACGTCACCCCGTCAGTGGCAAACCACCACCAGCAGGGCAAACAAGCGATCACCCAACGTAAACACAAGCCAGTGCGGAGAGACCTCAGGAACGTCCGACCCGGTCGGCGGTCACCACGCAACCAGAGAGAGTTTACCCAAAATCACAGTGCGGATTCCGAGCTAACAGGTCCACTATCGATATGGCGTTTTCCCTCGGACAACTGCAGAAGAAATGCAGGGAACAGAAGCAGCCGCTCTTCGTAGCTTT